ACAGACACTAGTTCATATCGCGATTCGAATTACGTGGCAGACCTACTTTTGATTTATTCGTCCAAAATTGACGAATTCCGTGGCATTCTGCGCTATAGAGTAAATTACGTTTTTATAAATGGACTCCACGATCCCATCCGCGTTTTCGCAGAAGCCATATGGCCCTAGAAATGTAACCACACTTCAGAACATTTCGGCTTGCCCTGTGTGTTGTTTGAACGAGTTGCAGGGGTGACCTCACATCACAGGGTCTCTCTCTCTCTCTCTGTAGCGTATGCTCCCAGATGCGTTTTCAGGAACCGAAATTTGGCACCGATCGATTTAACGTGAATCGGTACTCTGTAGTACCGACGCAATTCGGTCGGTACCCTTAAAAGTACCGAGTTCGGTACCCAACCCTAGTAAATGCATTCATGGCATCTCTGAGCTGCATCAAACAGTTGGGAGTGTTTAGATTGTTTTAATGTTTTTTGAAAGAAGTCTTTTCTGCTCACCAAGCCAGCATTTATATGATCAAAAATGTATCAAAATTTGATGAAAACTATTACTATTTCAAATAGCAGTTTTCTATGTTAATATATTGTCAAATGTAATTTATTTCTGTGATGTGCAGCTGTATTTTCAGCATCATTACTCCAGTCTTCAGTGTCACATGATCTTCAGAAATCAGTATAATATGCTGCTCAAGAAACATTTCTGATTATTATCAATGTTGAAAACAGTTGTGCTGCCCAATATTTTTTGTGGAAACCATGATACGTTTTATTTTTCATGATCCTTTGATGAATAGAAATTTTAAAAGAACAGCATTTATTTGAAACAGAAATATTTTGTAACACTATAAATATATTTCACGTTTGAACAATTTAATGCATCCTTGCTGAATGAAAGTATTATTTAAAATAGTAATTAATAATATAAAAAATAACAGGTTTTTATTAAAAATGGGACTTCATATGCAGTTTCTGTGCCACTTCTGAAGTGCAAAGATGGATTTTATGGATTTGATTTGATTTGATTGGTAACCACCTTTAGGGTTTTATTCGTCTTATTTTATTGATGAATTTGACATTAAAGATGATACATACTGTACATACAAGGTTAGAAAAAATTTGCCCTTATAACAATCCTCCTGGGAATGACTTTAAGTGGGCTAATATTGGCCCTTAATGGAAAAGTTAATTTCGTGAGCTCATTTGGGAGATCAGCCACCTGCTTAAGCCTTTACAAAGCCAAAGCGACAGTACTACAAAGCAAAACTTGTCAAATCTGCTGTTGAACATGGCCTGATGGGGCATGCCGGGGTTCAGCCGCACGTTTCTTTAGAGTTCACTAAAACTCTTCATTACCACATCATTGAGAGCAAGCAGACACCGTCTCCAGCTGATCGAAGCCCTGTTTCAGGCATTATATTAGAGGAAAAGAGCAATGAAGTGAAATAATTTCAGCTTTGATTAGATGGGATTCGGTAGATCACGTAATGAATACATAACACCCATAATGCTTTGTTCCTCTCGGCAGCATTTACTGAGAGCCACAAAGGTTTCGAGTGAGCGAGAAAAAGGGAGGAAAAAAAATCTAACCGCAGAGTCGATTTGATTCAGCTTTATTGAAATGTCATTAGCGCTTTACTGCCTCCTTTGTGAGAGCTACAGTACTGCTCGTTATTTTCGAGTCTTACTTGCTTTTTCGTGAAAAGAAATGAAAAATCACCCCACTGCCGCCTCCTTGTCATGTCTGGATCACTGACTCACAAGAACACGAAACTATTTTTTTCCCGATTATCGGTGACGGGCTGTTTGGTAACAAGCGTTTGATCGCAGGAAGAAAAACTGGAAAACTTTCCATCTATTTTGTTTTGCCAAGTAGGATGTTGGAAATCAAGAGTTTCAGAGAATGGAAGTGGCTTTCAGCGTTATTTTAGTATCACTGATGTACTAGTATAGTTTGTATTCATATTTATTTTTTTCTTCATTTTAATTTTAGTTAACATTTTAATTTCGTTGTGCATTTTTTAAAATATAAATATCAGTATTGTTTTCATAAATTTTAGTTGTAGTTCTTTTAGTACTTCATCTTAAATGAAAGGAAAAGGAGAATAGGTTTAAATAGGTTTTTTTTCAGTTTAGTTTAGGTATATTTTTCGGTTTTAATTTGTAGTTTTACTTTATTTATTTATGCTGGTTTTTACTACTTCAACTTCAACTTAACAAAAATAAGAAATGTTGCCTTGACAAGTAGTTAAAATGAAATACTAAAATACTAATGATTATTATTATTTATGTATTTTTTATTCATTAATTTTTATTTTATTTCATTTAACGTTTAGTATTAGTTTTAGTTATTTTAGCGTTTTTTTAATCAAACTAAATGAAAAAATGAAATGTTGCCTTGGCAACTAGTTGAAATAACATGTTTTTCTTTCTCAAATAATTAATTTATTTTAATGTGCATTTCGTTTTAGTTATTGTAGTACTTCAAAATGAAAATGATAAATATTGCATTGGCCACTAGTTATATATTATTTCAGTTACTGTTAAATTATTATTATTATTTTACTTTGCTGTAGTTATTTTAGTACTTCTAAACGACTTCATTAAACGAAAATGACACTAAAAGGAAAGCTAGTTTTTATTTTATTTTCTCTTAGTTGATTTTGTTTTCAGCTAGCGTCAAGTACAGTATGACCGTCTCATGACCCCGTGTCTGTACCGTTTCTGCCGTGCTGTTTGAGGGTGTTGGCTGACAGGTGGATGGTGTTTCCCTGGCCTCCCGTCTGTGGAAACTTCAGATCGGGAAGACTTCCGTCTGTGCTCATCCTCGCCACCTCCAGCTCTAAACAAAGACAAACACACACGCACACACACACACACAGAAAAATAATCCACACAATGCATGACAAGTGAGGATTCTGACAATAACACACCACAGAATTCAACTGAGGTATTTTGAGTTTAGAAGTATAATGAAAGTGAAAACGGACTGAGACAAAAGCTGTTTTACATAATGTGCTCCATCCCACTTGTGTGCTATTCTGCAATCTTCTGATTCACACAAGCATTTTGTGAGAGCAATTCAAATTGCAATTCACTGAAAAGCTTGATCTCTATGTGGTGTTCAATACAATTGCAGCAATGTCCAATTCATAAACAAATCATTCCTTTGAACAGATTTTTTTTTCAATTAATCATTGACTCTGAATGATTGAATCACTAATCAGACTAATACAGTTCTCAAGGTCTGTTTTTGCAAATGTGGATTACAGAGCTAGCTTCATTTGATGATTTGACTCAATCTGGATTGTTTAGTTCTTCCAAACACATCTCAGTTGTTCTCATAGCAACTTGGAAACAGGTTTATGTGACGTAAATAGGATTGAACTGCAGCGATTTCAGCGAAGGTGATACTTTAAGGCTCAACATAAGTTCTGTCATACAAGAGCACCCTGTTGCTTTCCGTTCACACTGACCACTTTTATAAGTTTTCTCTTTCAGCCAATGCTCCTTCATGACAGTAGTTGAACCAAAAGAGAAACTTTGACAATGCACATTTTAAAACGCAACGATGCACGACATCGAAGCGCTTGCGTCACATACTCGCGTAGAGTCTGCAGTTCGAATGGAGAATGAAACCCCTGCTGTGCTGTTTGCACAAATCAAAGCATCTCGCACTGTCTGAGATTTCGACAGTGATTCAGCGCAGCTCTCTAATCAAAGCATGAATGCACTGACTCACTGCATCAGTGCCAGGCCTGCAGTCTGATTTTGGGCATTCATACACATGCTTTCAGAGAAGCTGAAAAGAAGTCAGCCGCAAAATCCCCCAGCATTTACACAAACACTTATCAAACCAAAATTAGCATTAAAAATCCCAAAAGAGACTCTCATACGGCGGTGGGTATTCGCCGCCGACAGGACAAAGAGCGATAAAGAGCGGTGGGCATAACCAGACGACTATAGCTTGCAGGAAATACTTTTTCCTTCTTCCAGCATCGCTGTGCAAAGCTTAAGACTGCAAACAGCAGGCAGAGACGCTGTTGTGCCTCGAGAGAAATCAAAAGCCAGTTTAAATAACACGTTAATCGCCCAAAATCTGTTCGCCAGATTATGAGTGTGAGGACAAACACGCTTTTCATCAAAAAGAGGGAAATCTAAATACAATGGCACGCCGTGTTTTTCTTTTTTAAAGCACATTATATTCAACCGAAGGAGGAGGATAACAACCACTTCAGGGTAAGTTGGCAAAAGATGAGCATCCATCCTCGCACACAAACAGGCTTTTATTTCCCCAAACGACTGTGTCATTAACACTATCATCAGATGGCAACGCCGCTAATCTTCTCTCGATTCTCCACATGGCATGCTGTTGGCACTCTGCATCGTCTTAAAGGGATAGTATGCGCAAAAATCATAATGTAAACCTGTATGACTGCCGTTCTTCTGTGAAACACAATGGGAGATCATCTGAGGAACATTCAGAGGGGTGTTGGGCTTCAAAATGAAAAAAACTGAAAAACAGAATAAAACAAGTGATG